GCGGGCCAAGGTAATCGTCCAGTATCCCACTGGAGGTCTAGGTCAAGGGGCCTCATTGTCCAAGGGTAATCCGTCTGATTGGTATGCAGCCAAGGAGCGAGGGTCAAGGAAGGTTGCCGGCATCAAGCCGGCCAAGGTGTATCAACTGGTATCCCAGCAGAGGTCTAGGCAAAATGGCCGGCATCGAACCGGCAAAGGTAATTGTCCAGTGTCCCACTGGAGGTCTAGGTTAAAAGCAAGGGAGTGTCAAGAGTAGGGTGTAAAGGCTCAAAGGTTCATTCCTGAATGCAATATCGTCAAGTGATTCATAAGGGTCCGAGGTCCTGAGATCCTAGGGACCTACCGGGTTCAGGAGGGAAGCTATCGTCGAGATAGTTAACCGAGGAGGGGCAGACACGAAGGAAGGCCACGGGCGCAAAGGTTCAGGCGGGAGAACTATCGTCGAGATAGTTAACCGAGGACGGGCGGACACGACGGAAGGCCAAAGGTATATTAATCAAAGATAGCGAGCCATACTTCAGGCTCGCTACTTGTGGTCGAACTAAGACTAGCAAAGCAAGAGCATGAAAAGATAAAGAGTAACAAGGTATCAATGTTGTTCTCTTTCGTAGTCCGGAACGCGGAGTGGTGAATAATCTCAAGGTTACTTCATGATAAACATGAGAGCAAAGAGCGGACATAATTCCTAAGTATATACAAAGGTAGGAGATTACCAGATTGCGTAAAGAAAGTAAAATATCCAGGGGGACACCCCATAGATATATCCAAGGAAATCCCTCAATCTAACGGAGCTCCTCCGAGCTCAACATATAACATAACCATAGGAAATCCTCCGATCTATAACGTACATCCTGCATGTACGTCCAAAACCACTAAGGAGATCAATCACTGTATCAGACCAAGCGCAGCTCTTGTCTCTTGCTACGTGGAATCGCCACGCACTTTATCCGACTTGCGCTGCCTGGTCAACTAGGTCCGTCTTACGACACCTATCTCTTCAAGAACGTGAATCCTGAGAACTGCTCAGAGCTCCTCCAGGTACGAAACATTCAACTAGGGTGAAGAAAATTTGCTGGCCGTGACACTACCCTGCAAACAGCTTTGAGTTGGACAGACAGCAACAACATATACAGTGTCCTGCTGTATATTGCACTTTCACTGATACATAATGATAGGACATAGAAGTATACTGACACTATTACCACATGTGAGCCTAATGGAGGGTCTTGAGAAGGGTGTTGGTGGTGTGACTTTCCAGGTTTTTAAGAGGTCTGTATGAGGGAGAGGTCTGTCGATTCTTATGTATAACTATATAGGAGACTGCTGCTAGAATACAGTGATATCTTAGGCCTTCGGGAATGAGGCAATAGTATCAGACAACCCTTAGAGGAAAAGGGCATACTCATGTTAGTTGGGGTAACCTGATGGTGAAGTTTTTGATATATGTATGACTACTTAAAGATTATACAAGAACTTTTATACTACCCTGACATAATCAACATTCTCTCAAGGCTTCAATTGAAATAAGCTTCAACTTAATGATATTAAGTTTTACCCTTTACTTTATTCCTTTCATTTGCAAGAGCTGTGTTTGTGAAGATTGAAGTTTGGTGCAGTTGTATCCGTAGGATCCATCTTCCTATGGTAGCTCCTGTTACATATGGGAATTCAGCCACCCCTACTACTAACTGTCAACACTACCTTGATAGTAAATACTGTTCACTAAACTCGACAGCCAGTTGTGGGCATCCAGTCACCATTCTCTGCTTTGTAGTTTGAATTGCAATCCTTAACAGCTAAATGGTTAAAAGAAAACCCGTAGAAAATACCGGCATATGATAAAATGCAGGGCAGTCATAGAATTTATATCCTTGTTCTGATAGTTCTTTAATGGGCAAAGATGTATTGTAATAAATTTGACTCTGTGGACATTGAATCCAGGATACATATACATGAACCATTGCACAATTATTCTTTCCTCACAAATTCCCTCTCCTAATCTCTACATCTATTGTGTTCTTTTTTTCCTTGCAATCCTCTTCTCCCAGCCTCTACTCCCATCCTGTTTTTTGTTTCTTTGCACACCTACTCTTCTTACCTCTGCTCCTATCTAGTGCTCGCAACAGGGCGGTCAGTCCGTCCTGCACCAGGACCAAGACGGACGGCATTGGGTCCTCCCACCAGGTCATTGTCTCAACATTCTCGACATGTAGGAATGAGGGACAAGAACGGACTGGATTGTGTCGTCCCGTCCGGTCTTTTCCTGAACTTGCCCCACACATAAGAATAAAGGACTATCCACCGACAGTTCCCTGCCGTCATCCACAGTCACCCACCGTCCCCTGCCATCCCTCAAACCGACAGCGCTTACCTACTGTCCCCCGCCGTCCCCCACCGTCCCTTACGATCCCGGGTGGTCCTGTATAGTCACCTGCCGTCCCCTTCCAGGGCTTGCCTCAGATCGTGGGGCTCTTGGTCCTTCCTCATGACGGCCGCCCTAGGAGTTCAAGGACGAGGACGGACTATATGTTGCCGTCCCGTCCAGTCCCGGGCTCTTGGCAGTTCCTCCGTCGGGCCATACGGGGGCCCCGGACGGTTGAGAACACTGCTCCGATCGCGGTTTGTCTTTCCTTGCAAACCTTCACCTCCTTTTGACCTCTCCCCATTACCCTTTTCACTTTCTCGGCAAACAAATCGCTGCTACTGACATCTCCCGTCTGTAGCCACTATTAGTAGTAGCTAAATTCGTTCTTAGAGCCGGCTATCGAGCGCGTCCTCACTGATTCTTATCTTCATCTTATCACTAGAAATGCCTATCTGTCGGTTCAAGAGCTTTCCCATTACGGACAAACAAAGTTGCTAACTTGGTAATTCCAGTCCGCGCGGGATTCTGGAAGGAACATGGTGGGTAATAGCCACCTTAGTGACAGGAATCTTGTGGACTGTTATGATGATCATGAATGACCGGATCGATCCAGCTACAGTTAGTGTCACCATGGTTGGAACTCCCACCGTCCAGCTTGACAATATTCCTACAACGACCACAGTGACAACGAAGCTCACGGTTCTGACTGCCCTCTCCACCCCGTGTTCCATGGAGGCCGAGCTTACTGCTGAGCTCGGATTGTCTCAGTCAATGCTCGCTAAAATTCAGACAGCACTGCTTAGTCGGTGAGTCTACTGTACGGATCTTGAATGCTAGTTCATTCAATGCTGATACTGTGTTAGGGGCACTCTTCCCTAGGTGGAAACACCCTAGGCCGAGGGTACAATTGGAGCGTGGAACACAGGTCAGTGATCATGGGACTGCAGCGGGTGGAGAGGGGGCAAGATTGGAGGTGGGGGTTCATGGGGGTACCGGGGGCGGTGGGGGCCAGATCAGGAGTTGGGAGTTGTTGGGGTGCCATGGTTGGGGGTTGGGGGTTGCAGGTAGTAGTTGGGGATCATGGGGGCATGAAGGGTGGAAGGGAGGGGTGTCGATAGTACCTGTTGGCTTTTTCTTTTGGTTTTTATCCCCGGGACAGTGTGATACTGAGCAGAATTCAAATGATTGTTCCTGTGTTTGCAGACGATTAGGTACAAGTGTACTGTGATAACTTGGAACCTGTGCGAACATCTTTGATCTGACGGTGTGTAATGTGTCGCACTGAATCCACCCGAGACTATAATTTTAGCACGTCCGATTGTCATTCCATCATCTTGACTCCGCGTCCTGTGATACAGCCAGCTACTAGGAGCATAGATTGCACCAATTTATCCTACATGAGCCTATCTGGAATCATGTAGAAAGATTGTGATTTATCAACTAAGTGACTGGGTGACCCTCGACTGCAATTGAATCCCCAATTACTCCCATCTTAGCTTACAGATTGTTCAGAGTCCTAAGATTCTAAAGCGCAAGCCTGAGTGTCTCCTGCCCACCTACCCTGTCCTGCCGGTGACCTCGCAAGATACTTCGGTAGTCTGTTGGATCATGGTGCCACTTGCACGGCGGGCGGTTGCCAGCCCGAATCCGGTCAATACCTTCTTGTAGGTGGTGGTCTCTGTGGGCGGCATTTCTGTAGACTATCTCGGTTGTACTTCCTTAATGATTTCATGGAATCCTGCAGGATCAGTGCCAGGCAAGGGAAGCCCAGGTCCCGATTGAAAATTTGAAGTTGAGCGCACATCAGAGTGATGTACCAGAATCAATGCAAATTGTCCTCTCATTTGGTAGGTCATTCCCTGTCCATCAAACAAGATTAATGGTTCTTCCCTTTAGTGTGGGGCATTTTTGTTTCAATCGCTAACTTAACACAGATGGGATTAAACTTTCGAAACTTTCGAATGAGCGATTCTTTTCGGTATGGTGTATTCCTTAGGTGCACGTGGGCGGGATCCGACTGCTATGTATTAGTAGAATTAACCGCAAGGAACCTGGGAGTACAGGCGGAATTTTGGAGGGCGTCCTATGGCCTAGTATCATACAGAAATCCAAGATAACTCAGGCATTAAGCTTTAGTTTTGTTGTGAATCGTGATTTTCTGTCGTCTCTTCTCTGCGCTTGGAAGTTTTTTCTTTTCTGTTCTGTGTAGGGCCGAACTCGATTCTGATTTTATCTTGCCTTTCCTTTTTTTTTTCTTTTTTTCTAAGATTCTCTCAGCTTCAGTCTACCCCGCTTTCTTAACCAATCACCGTCCATGCAGCTGCCTCGTGCCGTCCATTCCCATGGCCTCCAGGACCAATCTAAAATACATTCATAGGAAAACGCCCTCCAGAACCTTACATCGTGGTTACCAATCATGCGTCTAAGCTTTACAAATCCTTCGGCACCTACGGGAAGGTCTCCGGATAGTTAGGTGGGGTCGGAGAACCGGTGATTTTCAATAAGTTTCCCCTCCGATCACCAACATTCCCTCTATAGCCTCTGCAATTGGGCGGAATATGGGTACTTCCTTTGAAATATTGACCGTTCTGTCTCGTAGCCCTCCCAATCTTTCGAGAGTAACACTTAGAACTCAGTTGACCACTCTTGGTTTAACCCGAGTACTCAATTGGAGAGTAGTGTTGGCAACCCCTTCGTGTAGGGTCACGTGATAAGTCAATCTGGATGCGATAATCGGGGAGCTTATTGATCAAACTTCCCAGCCGGAAATTTCCATCATAGGTAAGGTTTGCCCCAGCGCAGAAATCACCATCCGGCGTCATTTCCTCTAACCAGGAGTTCCTGAGGGAAGGAAACCCCTCACCGACCTGCACCTTCCGTAGCACTATATATGAAAGAAAATTGGGTTTATTAACTTGCGCTATCTCTTTTATCTTCCTTATCCGTACGAACTTCTCAACATCGAAGGTCTTGTGTATAGCTAGGAACACGCGCCCGAGTAATCCATTCACCCAAATTGGGTTGTAAATGCTCTTCCATGGAGTTTAACCGTTGTACAAGGAACAGGATGAGCGTTCGCTCATTCCGGAGAGGTAAAGGCGGGGTGATGATTTCATCGTACCCCTCCAGATTCTTTAGAAGCACAAAATAGAAGTCTTCTTGGAGAGAATTGCGTTCCGTAAACAGGTAAAATGGTATAGCTTTTCAACCGATATCGAACGTTCTACCAACAGCATTGCTATTTTACCGAAAGGGATATGGTATAGCGACAAATTTAGAGTTTGCCCTCCAGCAGTCCCTCACCCCCCCCCCATAGATACCGTAGTAACCGAATAGACACCAACCGAGATAACATGTCGTCCCTCGGGCTGATCCGAGTCATCATAAAGCGTAATGTCACCATGTATGCAGGCGTGGGTAGGGAAAGTAGTCAGGCAACGATTCAGGTTCAGCAGGCAACGCGCCTAAGAACAAAGAATTCATTGCATGCTCTCTAACCGGCCTTCGTAGCATCGGTAGGGTCTAATAAACCAATGGGATTCTCTGATAGGTTGGGTATTGCCAGCTGGGGATGTTCCTTCTGGAAGCTTCCTATTTACACCAGTAGGGTCCAGCATGGATACGGCGTAAGGGATAGCGGGGTGTCGGGTAACCCGGCTATCAAAGCCAGATTTCCCCGTTGAAGGCGCCACGTGCTTGCCCGGAGAATCCATTCGAATGTGGGACCTGAAGTGCATATTACCACTGCACATAGGGAGCGGATACAGGATGAGGATCCAGCCGGACGGGGGGCCATGCGTCAGTTCGCTAAGCTTTGTATGATAGTTAGAAGAGGGGCGGACGGGTGAGCCACAGAAAGGTCGAAGAGAGACCAAAGGCTTTTTTTTTTTAAAAAAAAAAAAGAACCCCCGAATTTTGGCTCATTCGTCGAAATTACTACGTGTGTAACCGCTGGTTCCGGAGCTGTCATACTCGGCCAATCTACGCTAAATTTTGGTGATTGATAAAGTGACCCTTGATACCCTCTGGTCTACACCCGCATGGGGCGTGACAACTGGGTTGCGGCTGAAACTTGAGGCCAGCCCGGCCCTCGGGGTTTATATAATCAAGCCGTGAGCGAGACGCAGAAGTAGACTAAGCTTCCAGGCAATAAGGTTACCCGAACCTTTCCCCCTCGCCTACCACCACCTCCACCAAGAATATAGGGAGGCAATTGATAAATGCACCCTCGCTATACGTAGATGTTCACAAGAGTCCGCCAAGCTAAACCCGCCTTCCCTCCAATCTTCCGTGTTCCTCTGTTCCATCTTTTCCTTCTCATTCCACTATTCATTTTTCCGTCCTTTTTTGTTACATCCCCCTCCCCCCCACACTCCTCGCGTGAGTAAATGCGTTGCTCCGCCCACTAACACCTACAACTTTGATCCTACACTTACTACAAAAGTCGGGCTCTCTACACCATCGGCTCGCGCTGTTCATCCAGTCGGAATAAACACTTTTATCATGCTGCCAAACCTGAGGGTGATGCCCTTGGCGGATTGATCCAGAACGGGTCGATTACAGAAGCGAATTTCCTTCATATGCTCGACATCCTCCTTATCATCCTAGCTCCAATAGGCGTTCGACATCGAACCTCAGGCAACACCGTATCTATCACCAACAACCCTCTACCAATTGGAACATACGATATGTTTTGCGAGAGCAAGCACATGATCCTGCCAATGCAGAGGTATGAACTAACTCAGCTGCAGGTGTAATACAATTGAACAATGAGGAATGGATACATCGAATCAACTCCCTCAAAGTGTCTAGTCGGTCGAACGCCTTTCGCGATGGAATTCAAGCTGGGAACGGAAGATGCGTGACCCCAGGCGCGATGAATCTAACTGCTCCGGGTCAATGGACGAGTTTTGGAGGAGCACATGTTTCCCGTTGGAGGCGCGGAAACTCTGGCTCGAGTGGGGGTTTGGGTGGTGGATCTCGGACATGGATGACCCTGTTGGTATCTCAAAGACCAACTCGTGCCAATATGAGCTTATCCTTCGTCAACACATCCACAGCATATTTGCTCAGTACCTAAGATCGGTGAATCCGGACGTTTGTTCTCTGCGTTAGTTTACTGTTCTTGTGTAATACTGATTACTTCCGATAGGACAGTTATAAGGTTGCTTTGTTTAATCCCGACATGGCCGGTATGGATGGCAGAACTGTAGACCCGGTTATCTGCAATCCAGCTGGTCCGCATCATGCTTCGGATAAGCTTTTACGCTGGCATTTTCGACAGTCCCTGGTTGCAAACATGAGAGGAGCTGGCGAGCCAATCTTTCATAGTGTCTTCCCCTAGAAATGGACATGATAGGAGAGATTCGCCAAGGGCCGTATGCGAAGGAGAGGTTGGAATTGGAGGTGGCGGCTAGATTGAGGGGATTGGCGTAGCACGGTCAGTAGTGAAGGTAATTTGCTAGCTCAGGATGTATTCCGGGGTTGAGGCTAATTTGCCCTGCCTCACCAGAGCAAAGCATAATTAGATCGGTGATATCAATAAGCCTTGGAACAGGTTTAGGAGATTGGCGTGGTTGGCGGGTCGATCATTACGGAGGGTTATTAACTCAAACGCTTGTGCACATCCCGACATCCACAATTGTATCATAGCCATCACTAGCTTCTGTAGATTAAATAAATATCTCCTCTCAAATATTATTTGTCGGTGCCAGTGAGCTTCGGTCAACTTGAACAGCATTTCATTGAGCTGGCTGCGACTAGCCACGGGGCAATCGAAGACCATATAAGACCAAGTAGGATCTCGTTTCCTTGTGGCTTCCATCGTGGCAAATGGCTCCAGGAAATACATGGGCGAGGCGGCAATGTTTGTGCGAAGAGAATATAATTTATTATAACTATAGCACGACCACTGAACTAATATGAACACCCTATGGCATTACGTCCTAGAGGTGAGCCAACTCCAACCTCCCTATCCTCCGGTATGATACATCAGGAAAGTAACACATACGCACTCCGTACTATAGTCCGGGGAGGTCGACCAGGACACGGTAATCCCAAACCCAAAACAAACTAACGCTTCGCTGACCGGGCTAGAGACTCTGCTCAATACTCCCATAAGTTGCCAGGGATCTAGTCTATGGAATGAGAATCACCATGCTTCGTGCACCACCTTCGCTACCCACAGCTGGAAAATTACTCGCTCCCATCAACCAAATACCACCACTTAAACACGCCGATCATTTTATTCAGGCGCACACCGCCGAAACCCCACTCCCCGCTTAACAACCCTTTCCCACACCTGACAGGCTAGCCTGCTGATAGAGGCAACGATACTCGGGCACAGGGTGTCTGGGCTAGGCCAATGAGAGACGACCTGGACTTTATCGCCGCAGCCTTCCCAGAACCCCCAAGTTCCATTGGTGGGCTGGAAACGCCGGCAGTCCTTGGGCATACCGCAAAAACTCGCCAAACTCGCTATGCAGGTACTGGCGCTAGGGATTGGATAGGTGCTGTTTTATCCTGAGAATGGACGGAAAATGACAAGAACACCTGAGAATACCGTAGCTGCATACCGGTGCCGTTGCCTACATAAAATACTGTAATAATGATTCTGGTCTCATCGGCTAAGGGAAAATAGGTTGGTCACCGGAATGATCTTGGCTGTATCGCCACGCATTAGTGCCTAAACTCTCCTACCTGCATAGCGAGTTTGGCGAGTTTTTGAGGTATCAAACGTAGGAAATTCTACGACGTAATTTCTGACACATTCAACGCCCCCACACCGCCCCTTCCCCAATGACATCCAACCACTTTTTCCTAATCTCACCAAGCATCAGAGGCCAATGTCCTACGACTCCTTCATCCGTATCCCCTCCCCAGTAAGTGATGACCAAGTAAGGTATATCTGGTACAGACTGGAGGCTAGTGGTTACATCTGTGCTGGCGAGAATAATGGATGGCACTCCATCTTGGAGGAGACCTGAACCGCGTAGCTTCAATGGGGGATCCATAACTAGGCACCGAGTACAAGATCTCCACCGTGATGCTGAATTTCGTGGAATGGACGGAAAGAACATATTATCATACCAATTCCGCGTGTAAGCCCCGCTCCCACGGCCCTCGGAGTTCTACTGGGCGAACCCAGACTTCGCTGTGCACCGTGCATGCTACGAAGAATTTATTCCGGCAGAATCCAACTACATGGAAGCTCTATCCATCTGGCGCCCGAGCTGCCTCCTCCTTTTCCCCTGGACACCCCAATGGCCACTGACCCCTGCGAGACAATCCACGTCCCACTCGATGTCCGTAAAACATCGCTTCCCGAACACGACATAGCCAACTGGCCCACCCCTCCCACCCCTTCCTTCGGGCTAGCCCCTACGGCGACGGTAGGCAAGGACACCCTCCGTTCCCACATAATCGACTAACCAACCTTCTACCGCATTATCTGGAAATATTGGAAATCACACTAATGCTTAGTGCACCGCCATGTGGCACACTAGTGGAGGGTAGCAAACTAAGCGAATATAAAAACAAAGGTCAAGAGGGACTCAGAGCTTATAACAGTTATAAAGATTCAATGAAAGGCTGTACTACAACAATTCAGAGCTCTGGAGAACCCCCAACAAAAGATTATATTCCTGGTGGTACATTATATAAGAGAAACCAATCCTCATACCCAATATTCTATTGCAACAAATAATAACACTAACAGGAAACCCCAAAACCAATATCCCTTAAGTTCATATCATATACCTAGAAAATAGGACACAACAGAGCTCTGGTAACTATTGATAATTTTAACCGAACTGACCCAGACTTTTCAAAACCATAGCCAGACTGCCGAGGGGCTGCGAGGAGGCTGCAAGGGGGGCTGCGGGGGGGGGGCTGCGAGGAGGGTGCGGGGAGGCTGCAAGGGGGCTGCGGGGGGGGGGCTGCGAGGAGGGTGCGGGGAGGCTGCAAGGGGGGCTGCCGGGGGAACTGCCAAGGGGGCTGTGGGGGGAACTGCTGACTGGGGCTGCCGGAAGGGCTGCAGGGAGGGGCTACCATGGCGGGTGCCGTGGGGGGTAGTAAGGGAGGTTGTAAGAGGGCTGCGGGGGGCTGTAGGTGGGGTGCCGGAGGGTAGTAGAGAGGGTGCTGGAGGGCTGTAGGGGGGCTGTAGGGAGGCTGTAGGGGGCTGCGGGGGTTTGTCTGAGACT